AGTGCATCCAGTTTTTGCCGTAACCCTCTCCAATTTTTAGCACCTGCTATGTGGGTGAAATGATGATACCATGCCAACTTTCAAACTTTTCATAGTTCATTTGTAGTGCTTTTCAATTTCAGGGTCATTTAGCTCAAAAAATCACTAAATGCATGAAAAAGAGCAAATGAAGTCAGAAAGGGTTGAAAATTGATGACGTGGCTTTGAATGGTGCATACTGAATGCACAAAAAGTCTAGAGTTGAAATAAGTTTAAAAAATGAAATGCCTTTGTAACAGATGAGTTTTCGTCCGAAACCCCAACACTTCGAAAGAGATTGTCCATTTTGTACATGAAGTGCATCCAGTTTTTGCCGTAACCCTCTCAACTTTTTAGCAGATGCTATGTGGGTGACATGATGATACCATGCCAACTTTCAACCTTTTCAGAGTTCATTTGTAGTGTTTTTCAATTTCAGGGTCATTTTGCTCAAAAAAATCAGTAAATGCATGAAAAATACCAAATGAAGTCGGAAAGGGTTGAAAATTGATGACGTTTGTCCGAAGCACAGAAGTAGATGTTTCAAATGCCAAAACACATAAGCACCCTAAATATTACAATGATTCCCTACGGTTTGTCCAAAGTGGTATTTCCAGATATATAAGTCCGGAAACTCACTAGAGAAGAAAGTGATGACAGTAAAGCAGGTCACATCCTAGAGTGGGATCTTTGGTTGTGAAACTTTTTCTTCACGTGTGTCCTCATGGTCAATCTTCATCATTTAACTGGATGCTCGGGTCAACATTCACTGTGAAGGGAGCAATTTCATGAAACTTTTCATAATCTTCTGACATGTCTGTCTTGTCATCCACTCCCATGATGTTTCTTTTCCCTGAAAGAACTATGTGGCGCTTTGGCTCATTGTATGATGCATTCGCTTCCTTACCTTTTCTTTTTCTCGGCTTGGTAGACATGTCCTTCACATAGAAAACCCGCGGCACATCATTGGCTAGGATGAATGGTTCGTCTGCATACGTAAGATTGTTGAGATCCACTGTTGTCATTCCGTACTACGGGTCCTCCTTTACGCCACCTCCTATCACATTGACCCATTTGCACCGAAACAAAGGGACCTTCAAATCACTTCCATAGTCAAGTTCCCATATCTCCTCTATGTAACCATAATATGTGTCCTTTCCCCTACTGGTTGCTGCATCAAAGCGGACACCACTGTTTTGGTTGGTGCTCTTTTTATCTTGGGTGATCATGTAAAATGTATTCCCATTTATCTCATACCCTTTGAAAGTCATTATATTCGTAGATGGTAACTGGGACAACAAGTACATGTCATCTTCAATAGCGTCGTCATGCATGGCACGTGTCTGCAACCAACCGGCGGAAGTCCTTGTTTGTTCACGTGTAATCCAGTCTTCAGACTGCTCCGGGTATTTGGAGCTTAGAATATTATTGTGTTCCTCCATATACGGAGCTACCAAGGCGGAATTTTGTAGAACTGTGTAGTGTGCTTCAGTGAGAGAATGCCCGTCCATACATATTATTTGATCCGGTCCTAGCATGCCATTTCCATCCAGTCTGCCCTTATGCCGCGATTCAGGAACACCAATCGGCTTAAGGTTAGGAATAAGTCAACAAAAAACTCAATGACCTCCTCATTTTCATGGCCCTTAGAGATGCTTCCTTCTGGTCTAGCACGGTTATAAACATATTTTTTAAGACTCCCATGAACCTCTCAAAGGGGAACATATTGTGTAGAAATACAGGACCCAGAACAGGAATCTCTTCGCATAGGTGAACTAGGACGTGCGTCATGATATTGAAGAAGGATGGTGGGAACACCAACTTGAAATAGAAAAGACATTGCACCAAATCATTCTCCAACCTTGGTATGATTTCTGGATCGATTACCTTCTGAGAGATTGCATTGAGGAATGCACACAGCTTCACAATGGCTAATCAAACATTTTCTGGTAGAAGCCCCCTCAATGCAACCGGAAGCATATGCGTCATAATCACGTGGCAGTCATGAGACTTTAGGTTCTGAAACTTTTTCTCTGCCATATTTATTATTCCCTTTATATTCGACGAGAAGCCAGATGGGACCTTTGTACTGAGCAGGATTTCAAAAAAGATTTCCTTCTCTTCTTTGGTAAGAGCATAGCTAGCATGACCTTGATGTATGACGTCCTTTCCGTGCATATGTTGCTGGTCCTCCCATGCCTCTGGTGTATCTTTTGTCTTCCCATACATGCCCAAGAAGCCAAGCAGGGTCACACAAAGATTCTTCGTCACGTGCATCACGTCGATTGCAGAGCGTACCTCTAGGTCTTTCCAATAGGGTAGGTCCCAAAATATAGATTTCTTCTTTCACATGGGTGCGCGTCCGTCAGCGTCATTCAAAACAGATTGTCCGTCAGGACCCTTTCCAAAGATTACCTTCAAATCCTTGACCATATCATGTACATTATCACGAGTACGATGGCGAGGCTTCGTCCGGTGATCTGCCCCACCTTTGAAATGCTTGCCTTTCTTTCTTACGGGATGCCTGCTCGAAAGAAATTGACGATGTCCCAGGTACACTTTCTTCTTACAATTATCCAAATATATATTGTCGGTATCATCCAAATAGTGTGTGCATGTGTGGTATCCCTTATTTGTCTGTCCTGAAAGGTTACTGAGAGCAGGCCAATAATTGATGGTCACAAACAGTAATGCATGTAGGTTAAATTCCTCCTGTCCGTGCTCATCCCACACACGTACACCTTTTTCATTCCATAGTTGTAAGATTTCTTCAATTAATGGCCTTAGGTACACATCAATGGCGTTGTCGGGTTGCTTAGGGCCTTGGATGAGCACTGGCATCATAATGAACTTCTGCTTCATGCACAACCAAGGAGGAAGGTTATACATACATAGAGTCATATGCCAGGTGCTATGATTGCTGCTCTGCTCCCCAAAAGGATTAATGCCATCTGCGCTTAGACCAAACCATACGTTCCTTGAGTCACCTGCGAAGTTCTCCCAGTACTTTCTCTCAATTTTTCTCCACTGCGACCCGTCAGCGGGTACTCTGAACTTCCTGTCTTTCTTACGGTCTTCTCTGTGACATCGCATCAAACTTGTCATGCTCTTTGTTTTGGAACAAACGTTTCAACCGTGGTATTATAGGAGCGTACCACATCACCTTGGCAGGAATCTTCTTCCTGGGGCGCTCGCCCTCGACATCACCAGGGTCATCGCGGCTGATCTTATAGCGCAATGCACCGCATACCGGACACGCATTCAAATCCTTGTACTCATCGCGGTAGAGGATGCAGTCATTAGGGCATGCATGTATCTTCTGTACCTCTAATCTAGAGGGCAGACAACCTTCTTTGCTTCGTACGTACTCTCGGGCAATTCATTGTCCTTTGGAAGCATCTTCTTTAACATTATCAGCAAATTTCCAAATCCCTTGTCAGATACACCATTCCCTGCCTTCCATTGCAGCAATTCCAGTGTGGTGCCCAGCTTTTTCTTGTCAGCTTTGCAATTTTGGTACAACAATTTCTTGTGGTCCTCTAACATGCACTGCAACTTCAGCCTCTCCTTCTCACTTGCGCAGTTTCTCTTTGCATCGGCAATGGCCCGACCTAGATCATCAGCGGGCTCATCTGATGCCTCTTCTTTAGCTTCTTCCCGCATTGTCGACTCAGCTTCTTCCCCCGTTGCCGGCTCAGCTTCTTCCCCCATTGTTGTACCATCGTATTCAGGGAACCCATGGCCAGGATAGCTGTCGTCGTCCTCTTCTTCTTCATTATCTTTCATCATAACCCCTCTTTCTCCGTGCTTGGTCCAACCATTATAGTGGGGCATGAAACCGGACTCAAACAGGTGGACGTGAATGGTTTTTGACTTAGAGTAATTCCGATCATTCTTACATCCAGCACATAGACAAGACATAAAACCATCTGCCTCCTTCTTTGCCTCAGCCACAAGCAGAAAAGTATGCACGCCATTAACGAACTGGGGAGAGCATCGGTCATCGTACTTCCATTGCCAGCTCATCTTCATTACACAGCACCGAGGTGGTGGCATATCCTATTTGTTGATATTAGCATGTGAGGAATGATTTGATTTTTGGAACAGGAAAAGAATCTACCAATATCTGCTATTTTTGTGGATAGTTACTGGTCTTTCTTTACATCCAGTCAGGCTAATGCTGAGGTGGCCTCCAATAACAAAGGAAAGGAGGTGGTGGCTGGGTTTACACCAGTTACTACCGCTTTGGGGAATCAAGTGGTGTGGCGGCCGCCCCCTTCTAACCTTATCAATATATCAATGTTGACGTCACTTTTGTGAAGAGCATAAGTGCAACAAGCATTGGTGTGGTGGCTAGGAACTCTTCTGAAGACACATCTCATCTTGGGACTTTATTGGGTTGTGCTTTGATGAGAAAGAAGGGGAGCTTCGGGCATGCCTGGCTGAATTTTATATCGCTATTTCTCTTCACAAGGCTATTATTTTGAAAATTGATTGCACACGCTTGTGATTCCTTTCCTTGCAAATGGAAGTCCTGATAAATCCATGCTCGTTGATCTGAAGAAGGAAAAGCTTGGCATCATCAAGCTTCTCGATAGTTATATGTTGTCTAAAATCATTAGGCAGACCAATATGATGACACATGAAATTGCTCAATTATTTAATTTTGATAATAGATTTGACGGTTTTTGATAATAGATTTGACGGTCTACTTCTTAATAGTTTTTCGCCATGCGTTGCATTTGCTGTAATGATGGACATATTGTTTTAATCAATTATTAATATACGGGGAATTATTTTAAAATACATATATATGCGAGAGAAGGTACGCAACCATTGCACTGATTGCATGCACGTGCCGTCGATATTGTCCTAATTAACTATTGACTACAGTAAGTACAAGAACATGGAGGAAGTACTACTAGTATAATTAAGCACACGACTATACATGCAGATATTATATCCTCGGTGTTCAGATTTGTTCATTCGATGGTGGTGGCGCACTGGCAGTCCTGCACGACGACGGCCCTGAGCTGAGACGGCGAGACGGCGGCGGCGATGCACTCGGCAGCGAGGGTGCGGCTACTGGACACCCAGACGACCACCTTCCATCGGAGCCGCCCCCCCACGCGCAGCGTCAGCAGCGCCGGCGATCGCCCGCCCGCCGTCGTTTCCTCCGCCGCCGAGGACGACGAGGAGAGCGCGGCAGAGAGCATGACGTCGCCCTGGGCCTGCTGGAACGGCGGGATCGGCGCGGCGGCGGCGAGCTGGAGTCCCGCGTAGGACGCTCGCGCCCGGAGGCCGTCATAGAGCGCGAGGGCGTGCGCGTTGGGGTTGTGCGCGACAACGTAAGCGTCGAGCAGCACGGTGCCCGCCATGCCCCCGGTGGCGTTGGTGGAGGCGGTGGCGGACAACAGCCTGAACCGTGGGCTGGAAGGGCGGAGGGTGAGCCAGAGTATGATGGCCATGGCTAGCAGCAACGCCATTGCTGACGCCGCGGCGATCAGCAGCCACCGCCGGCGCCTACCGGACTGGTGGCGCCTGGCCGCCGTGCAGTCCCTCGGAGCGCGGTCGGGGTCATCGGTGATGAGGGACATGGAGATGGCCGGAGCGCACCGCTGGCTGAGGAGAGCGCAAGAGAAGAGAGAGGAACGGTGTGTGTGGTGTACGTGAGAGACGAGCGCGCTATGACTGTGGGTGAAAGATGCTAAGGTAATATATGGAGTATATATCAGTCATCATACTTACAACGTTTTCTTTGGTAAGTGATAATACTAACTCTGTTGCTTGCTTGTTGCTACATCAACCACATCATATTTTCTCTGCTTTCATTTCGTGGAGAGAAGAGAAGAGGAGAAGAAAAGCACTTGTCCGGATGGAGATGGAAGATGGCTGGCACTGGCTTGGCTCCACATCACAAGATGCTAAAGTTGGCAAGGAAGATGGTTTGGTGAATCAGCCAGCAGTTATAGATCAGACAAGCACTTTTTCACCTGGGCTAAGGTAATTACGAAATCTAGCAATCGTCATGTAAAGCTAGTACGTAGAAAGCAAGAATGGAAGCAACCCTTCTCTTCTTCTTTACTTTCCACAAAGTAGCAGCAACAACAGGCTAGCGTGAAAGATGGATCGCGTAGCTCTGCCGGGGTGGAATCTTGTTGTTTGGGTGTGAAGCGTGAGTAAACTGCCATCAAGAAGAAAGAGGTTCACGCATATACCAAAGTGGATTCTCGAACATTCAAGTTCATCCTCAGCGTAGCAACCCCACTCAAATTATTCCTCTTATCACATTAATCAATCATCATAAGATCGATGAGACAGAGTATTTTTTTTTCTCTTTATTTTCTTGCAAACACCGAGTGTAACTCACTGGAATCGCGGAACTTCATGGTTGAATCATCAAAATGTATATCGAGCACGCTCACACAAACAGACAGAAACATTTCATTGATTTATGGCACCATATCAAAGTGAGACAACTGAAAATAGTTTCAACTCCTGGTCTCTCTATATCATAAGCACATCAAAATCCTGATAAGATAATAATCATAATGAGAACAAAGCATGCCGGACAGGACAAAGTTACAATGGGGCGCGGCGTAACGAGAACAAGGGACATCAAAATCATGATTTGTAACCGGTAAGCTGTACATCGGACGTTAGAGCATCTCCAATAGCATGTGTATATTGAGATGTCTATATATTCATATAAACAATGGTCTAAAAAGATTTCCTCATATACATGTCTAGTTTTGCATGAGAACGTCTATATACAAGGACCATGACAGGTGGACCGTCGTTGAGAGGAAGAAATCATGACTGCAACTGAGTTTAGACAACGCCTTCACATTGTCCAGGCGTGGACATTGTCGAGATCGATTTAGAGGATGTGTATATTTGGACGACCATATAGACAAGCTGTTGGACGATTGTTTTGGGCTCACGTCGTGGAAAACGAGTATAGACATTCATATAGACAAGCTATTGAAGATGCTCTTACAGCACGAAGTTGTTCAGAACTTTCTTAACCAGATGATCCCCATACACCACCATGTGGTACTTGGCAACGCCACCCGTTTTCTCCTGGCATAGCTCCGCAGGCTCAACCGTGGCATCGAAGTTTGACTCTGTAGGTGCGGCATAAGAAGGAATTTGAGTACAAAGGGCGGCATGCATAGAAATGGTTGGTTTTTCTAACCTAAAAAAAATGTTATTTTTATCTCTGTGGATGCGCACATACCTCGTAGAAGAAGGCAACGGATACACGGTAACGAGGGGAGCTATTGAAAACTCTGTGGAGTGTTTTTTTTTTTAGAAAAGGGGGTATTCCCCGGCCTCTGCATCAGATCGATGCATACGGCCTCTCTTATTAACCAAATAAAAGGGGGTTCAGAACAGGAGTCTTACAAACAAAGGAAAAAAAAGGCAGCCTATAGCTCACATAGAGCATCGACTGTAAGGCAGAAATGAGATAAGCCACAAACCGGCTTGGCATAATATTAGGTAGGTAAACTAGATGCCTATCCTATTACATGATCGCCATCCAAACCGGTTGAAGATATCCCGCGCTACCGTCTCCCACCGGACAGATCCAGTAACCAAACGCTCCCTGGCCTCCGTCGGAGTGAGTAAGGACCAAGTACGGATCAGCGCCGTAGCCCGGAACAACACCTGCAAAAAATGAGTATTTGTTGTCCTGTTAAAAACCAAATCGTTCCTGCAATTCCAAATTGCCCATAATAACGCACATACTCCTACACGAATGTGTCTGGCTATTTCGGGCTCCATCCCAAGCAGCCACGCCCCAAATAACGTGTTTACCGATCTCGGTGGAGTAATATTAAAGGCAATTTGCACGGTGCGCCACAACCCTTGTGCCAACGGGCAATCCAAAAATAAATGCTTGATAGTCTCATCCCGATCACAGAAGCTACACCTAGTAGATCCTGTCCAGTTGCGCTTAACTAGATTGTCCTTTGTAAGAATAACTTGTTTATGCACAAACCACATAAACACTTTAATCTTCAAAGGAACCTTAACGTTCCAGACTTCCTTGGACGTAGGTATCACGGATGAATTAATAATATCAATATACATCGACTGGACCGTGAACACCCCAGTTTTAGTTAGTTTCCAATACAACTGGTCGGGCTGAGGATTTAGCTGCACCTCCATCAGCCTACGGACCAAGTGAAGCCATGCTTCCCATCTAGGTCCAACAAGCACTCTCCTAAACTGTATGTTGAGGGGAATAGACTGCATTATTGTGGCAACAAGAGCATCCCTACGCTGAACAATACGATATAGTGTTGGATATTGTGAAGCCAAAGGCGTGTCACCCAGCCACGTATCCTCCCAGAATCGCGTGTCATCTCCATTACCAACAAAACATTTCGTTCTGTTGAAGAAAGCGGCTTTAACCCTCATGAGCCCTTTCCAGAACGGCGAATTTGTAGGTCTCATAGTGACTTGGGATAAAGTCTTTGAGTACAGATATTTACTACGTAAAATCTGCGCCCAAGTTGCCTCTGTCTCAGAAGACAACTTAAACAGCCACTTACTCAGGAGGCATTTATTTTTGACTTCAAGATTTTCAATACCAAGTCCTCCTTGGTCCTTTGGTCTGCAAATAATATCCCATTTTGCCAATCTGTACTTCCTCTTAGACTCATCACTCTGCCAGAAGAAGCGAGAACGATAAAAATTTAGTCTTTTCCTCACCCCAACTGGTACTTCGAAGAAAGATAGCAGAAACATAGGTAAACTCGTGAGCACCGAGTTAATCAGAATCAACCGGCCTCCATAAGACATGAGTTTTCCTTTCCAACAGCTTAGTTTTTTCTCAAATCTATCCTCGATGCACTTCCACTCAGCATTCGTTAACTTACGATGGTGTATTGGAATACCAAGATAAGTGAAAGGAAGAGACCCACTCTCACACCCGAACAATTGTGTATAAGCTTCCTGTTCGTCTTTGGCTCTACCAAAACAGAACAACTCGCTTTTATGGAAATTAATCTTCAGCCCAGACAATTGTTCAAAAAGGCATAAAACTAGCTTCATGTTCCTCGCTTTGGCCAAATCATGTTCCATAAAAATGATTGTATCATCAGCGTATTGCAGGATGGACAAACCACCATCAACCAGATGAGGCACCACTCCCTCCACCTGACCGGCCTCTTTGGCCCTCCCAATCAGGATCGCTAACATATCAACCACAATATTGAACAGAATAGGCGACATAGGATCACCCTGTCTCAGACCCTTGTCGTTCGGAAATAGTGGCCTATGTCATCATTAACTTTAATGCCAACACTGCCTTTTTGCGTGTACATTTCCACTTGATGTCTCCAGCGCTCATCAAATCCCTTCATTCGAAGAGCTTGCTGGAGGAACGGCCATTTGACTTTATCATAGGCCTTCTCGAAATCCACTTTGAAAATAACCCCATCTAGTTTTTTCGTATGAATTTCATGAAGCGTTTCATGTAGGACCACAACCCCCTCGAGGATGTTCCTATCCGGCATGAAAGCCGTTTGAGAAGGTTGAACTACAGCGTGCGCTATCTGAGTAAGCCTGATCGTGCCAACCTTGGTAAATATTTTAAAACTGACGTTGAGTAGGCAGATAGGCCGAAATTGTTCAATTCTCACGGCATCTGTTTTCTTAGGCAACAACGTTATCGTTCCAAAGTTAAGTTGGAACAGCTGCAAGTGTCCCGAGAACAAATCATGGAACATCGGCATCAGGTCTCCTTTGATAATATGCCAACACTTCTTGTAAAACTCAGCCGGGAAACCATCCGGCCCCGGAGCCTTATTGCATTTCATCTTGGCAATAGCCTCGAAAACTTCCTTTTCCGAGAAAGGGGCAGTTAACACATCATTCTCCACAGAAGAAAGTTGAGGGATATCGCTAACCCTAGACTCATCCAAGGATACACAGCTCTCCTCTGGTGGTCCAAACAACCTTTTGTAATATTCAGTAATGTATGTTTTCAGGTTGTCCTGGCCGACTATTGTACCCTCATCTTGCTCCAGCTGGAAGATCCTCTTCTTCCTGTGCTTGCGATTGGCAATCATGTGGAAGAACTGAGTGTTCGCATCCCCCTGGACAACTTTTCTCACCTTTGCCCGCAATGGCCACTTTAATTCTTCCTCACGGAGCAAATCCTTCAGCCTCGTCTCAGCCTCATGCTTAATATGAAGCTCAGTGGGTAACAGAACCGTAGTTTCAGCTTTTACATCTAAGGTTTGTATAAGTGAAAGGAGTCGTTCCTTCTCGACCTTATACACTCCACCTAGATGTTTAGCCCACCCACGAAGGAAGCTTCGGAGATGCCTGATCTTGTTCTGCCACCGCTCAATGGCACGTCTACCTCCTACATCTTTAGCCCATTCTCTGGCAACAAGATCCAAAAATCCTTCTCTTTCAAACCACGCCATCTCGAAAGAGAAAACATTTTTGTTACCCGAGTAGGTAGCCCCACCAGAATCGAGCAACAAAGGCGTGTGATCAGAGATCCCGCGAGAGAGAGCCTGAACCGTTACCACGGGAAACTTCTGTTCCCAAGCAACACTAGCTAGAACCCGATCCA